TCTCTATTCTGTTTAATGTTGGTATACTTTGTCTACTGTTTGTATAGTTGTTGAACTGATAGTTATATAGTTACTGTTAGATCTTTTACTCTTTTACCGTGTTTTGTTTTTATTGTTTACTTATAGAATTAGGATCTATGGGAAAGAGTAGATTTTAACGGTTATAACTGTTATAATGGATATAACGGTTATAACTGCTATAATGGATATAACGGTTATAACTGCTATAATGGATATAATGGTTATAACTGCTATAATGGATATAACGGTTATAACTGCTATAATGGATATAACGGTTATAACTGCTATAATAGATATAATGGTTATAATAGCTATATTACAGTGTATCGCATACATATATTTAACTACCATTGTAGACATAGCGGTTGTATTGCTTATATAACGGCTACATTATAAAGCATCTATTTTTTACGTATATTTTATGCATGAATATTCTAACTTAATTCAAATATAATTTTAAATCGAATTAATTCGAATATTCAGTGAATAAAAGATTCGATTCCAATCTCTAGTTTGAACTAATATATATATATTTAATTCAGAATTCACTTAAATAGATTTGAATTCAAAATCAACAGTTTATCGGATATGATATATGTTCGACTAAGAATTTATTTATTTATTCAGAGTTAAAAATTTATTACGTACAACTAGACCAAATATAAAGATGAATGTAAAACAATTACTGCAGATAAGTGGTATGGGTATCATTATATGGTAATAAATTCCTATTTCAAAAACAAATTAAACTTATTACTTTTTGCCAGTATTATTTTTTTATTATTCAAATTTAGAGAATATCTAAAGCAGAGTAGATTCTTATATATTTTTTTATTAAGTTAGCTTTAAAGTTAGATTAGATTTTAGATAATTATATATAAGCAAAATTGCTTTCCCGATATCTTTAATTAACTCATCTCAGGTAGGTTTTTGTATTTTTCAGGTTTTTCACTTTTATTTCTTGTTTTGCTTCACAAGAATCATCAAATTCTATAATTTATTAATCAGTTGTTACGTGATTATACTTAGTATGAACAGTTAAACCAATCTTTGATAAGTTTTCAGTATTCATAATATGGATGTTCTATAGAATAGGTGGGCAAACTCTGCAAACTCTGCAACTCTGCAACTCCGCTATTAAAAATTTAATGATTACTAATCATTAGCGAAGCTTATTTCTTATATTGCCCACCTATTCTATAGAATATCCCATAATATTATCAGACTTGTTTGAAATTACTCTTTAACTAATATATCTTTAGTAATTTCTATGCCTACAATGGGAACGTCTACTTCTTTACAATTTGTCTTGCTATTTTCAAAAGATTCATTATTCTTTTGATTAGACACGTGGTTAAAGTTTGAACTGTAACTATTGCATTTTACTTTAATCACTTTCTTTGTACAATTTCCAAATATGATTATTTTAAAAGTTCTTTTTGGCATTCACATCTTCTATGTGTTTTTATAGATATCTTTCTGTAGGACTTTGTGCTAGAATAAAGACTATTCATATTTTAGTAACAGTGGTTCAACTGTATTACCATGTTTTAAGTTGTGCCTATAGCTATACATGTTAGCAAAATCCCAAACTATTATAGTTTGGGATTGGGCGTCCCAAATCCCAAACTCTGGCCAAACTCATATCTCAAAAACTTTATTAATGATCTTCATTTAAACAAATCATATAAATATTTATAGCTATATATAATATATTTGCAAAATTTTAAATTTATTTTTTTGATTCAATTTTTTATAAATAGCAATTGTATTTTTGGGGTTTGGGATTTGTCCAGGTTTTGCCAACAAGTATACCTATAGCACATCAACATTAAAAAGGGCTGTCTTATAAGTGATACCTTACGGCATTGTTTAGCAAATAAATTCAAAACTGTATATAGATTCATGAGTAAAGTGAAAACGATAATAAATAAATTGATGCTTATAACTTTTAATCAAAATAAAGAATAAAGAAAACCATAATTAAAAGTAGATTGTGCAGTATATACCAAGATTAATTTTGTATATCAATGCCTGATTCGGTTTAAAGAGAGTTGATACTGTTATATTAAAATTTAATTCAAAATACCAAATTATTTATATAGCTTATTTACAATATCTTTTACCATTTTGAGCTTATCAGTAACAATAGGATTTAAAATATAGGCGCAATAAAGCTAATGTAACAATTTTTCATTTGCAACAAGCATGTTTTGTTCGCTAAGCTTGAGTTTTATATTAGTTATTGCAGCATCATTGCTAGTTGCATTGTCTATAGTAATTGCCAATATCTAAAATAATAAAATGTTAATAGATACTAAAAATAAAAGACTTGTTAAATTATTAAATACCTACTTTAGATACAATATTCTAATCCTCAAGGTATTTAAAAAACATATCACTAATAACAACTCCTGTGTGCAGTATAGAGATTAATCTAAATACTAAGACTATTTTTCAAAGATTTCAATTGTTATTGATGAAATGACCTGGTAAAGATATGATAGTAGGGTGTGATAACTTAGTGAAGTGGTCAAGTTGTCGCACCTCAAGCAGTTGAGTATTGGTTCAATTCCCACAGAGAATGAAAATTAGATTTTAAGAAAAATAGATTTCGGTAACTATTGTCATGGCTGAGAAAACTCAAAACCCTGTAACTGTGGTCGTACCAATTACGGTTAGCCAGAAACTGGAAGATCTTGAGTATTTGTGTAATATAAGAAGTTATACAAAGGCATGCAAGCCAGTTTAGTCAGTGCAAACCCAAGATAAGTTCTTTGAAATCGCAAAAAACCACAGAGCCGATATGGCGGTGGATACTCGCTTGGAAAGTCCCGAATAGAGAAATAGCATAAATCTTTAACAGTACTATATACAGATTGATACTTGAAGAACTGGTAAAACTAAACAGGACCGAAGTGCTTGGCAAGGCACTTAACCAACCAGAGTAGCTAGAGAAAAAGGACCTAACCATGGGGATCAGAAGCAGGTCACAGCCCTTCTGGGCTATCTGGATTGGTAGTTTGTGATAGCTGGAGATACTAGTAATAGTCTGTAAGTATGTACCGAGGTTTGGGTGAACTCTATAAGGTCAGAAGTAGATTGTATAGTAGCGATCAGGAAACTGGATGCAAGTGGCAGGTCTCAGACCATACGTATTAACCTAAGCCTAGGTCAGCCAGATTGTGGGTACAGAAGGCTCTAGCAAGTTTATCTGAGAATAAAATTGTTCTAAGGTAGTTACTAAAGAGTATTGTATCAAGGTTATATATATAGAAATATATATATAACAAATGTAGATCATCTAGTTGTAAAAGTAATCCAAACAATAATAAAGTACTTGACCGAAGGGATCATCTTAACACCAAAAAAAAAAAAAAAAAAAAAAAGATAGTTAATAAGAAAAAATAAACATGGCACATACTAATAAAGAAATATATATACATATAACAGCCATATATTCAAGATTTTGATTGAAAGTTCACAGATCTGTTGTAAAACTCAGGCATCCAGAAGCTTCTTGTACTATTATACAAACTTTTGCCTCAAGATCTGCAACATGATTTTTGCAATCTGCATGCACGGTCTTTTTACTCATTGTATTAAATTGTGGTTGTAAATTTTTAAAAAATTTTAAGAATCTCTTGTACTTAACTATATGAAATGGATATCTATACATGATAATTATATCTGCTAAATCTTGACAGCTTCTCTCTTGAGAGAATTTATAATCAATAGCATTTGAATTAGAAGGTTGCAATTGTTGCAACTCAGTCTTTAGATATTTGCTATATTTTGTATTTTTCATATAGTGAATAAAGGAACTCATTCCTGTTTGTATATCATATTTAAAAGTTGTTTTACAATGTGTGCATTGAGCATAGTTTTTTAGTAATTATAAATCATTTTAAATACCTTTTTAGATATAAAAATTTTTAATATAGATATAAATTCTTATCATGCTTAGAATCATCTTTAACAAAATACCTATTAGCAAAAACTCACAATAGAGACTTGCTGATTTTACGTTTTTTAATCTGTGATGAAGACTTGCTGGTATTAGATTTCTTGATGGTAGGTGCTTTTTCAAAACTCTCACCTTCACTAATTTCAGATATCATTCTTCTAGTTAAAACTACTAGTAATTGTTTAAATAAAATAATACAAGAGTATTGTTATTTTAACGCAGTATAATATCACTCTTTTTTTTTTTAAAAAAAAAGAATGTGAATAATTTTTTTTTAATTTTAAACTAGTGTATGATCCTGTCATTAAATGACAGAATATAGACTTATTAAATGTATTTGATCTATTATTTAATAAAGATATTCGACTTATTTAATGACATATTTAAATTTTATAGATATCTATTTATACTAATGTTAATCGCAGAAATGTAATTTTTATATATATTCTTTCTACTCCTACAACTAAAAGCCACAATTCGAACAAAGCAAAAAAAAATCTGATATAGAGAAAAATCGCTTTGCTCAATAGCTTTTAAATTTGTAGCCTTAAATGAAGAAAAAATTTGGATAATTTATATCTATTTAAATTATTATTCATAATAAGATTTTAAAAAAATTGCATCTAGTCAATTCAGGTTTATAATATGAATTGGAAAGTTATATTGATAAATATTTATCACTTCTAATATCTTGTTCTTAACAAAATGCATTATAATTGTGTTTAGTATATAAACTTGGCAGTACGCAATATGCACAGTATATATTTAATTATTTATTTAATTACATTTATAATCGAAACTTAAACAACTTAACAAAATAAAGCATCATGCAAGCCTTAATAATGAGATAAGTAATTTCTAAATAAGAGAGAAAATAGCCCAATACATACATAAACTAAAGTACAATAAGTATATATAGACAGTGCATTATACCTTAATATCAAAATTTTAAGTAAAAATCATTTATGCATCTATCGCTACAATAAGGAGAAATAAGAAGATCAAACAATTATATAGATTTATTTGTTTAGGTTTGAGATTTGGGATTACACAAATTAGCCATACAAAGTTAACTAATTGTTCTAAAAATAATCTGCCCTCCTGGCTTTTAATTTTAAATTTTATAAATTTTCTAAATTTTTTAACAAAAATTTATAAAAGTTGATTCTATCGAGTTATAAGAAACAATTAATTAACTTTATATAACCTTAGTAGAAAAGTTAATTTTTATTTGAGCCTTGTTCAAAATCTCTAATATATAATTTATATCGAAAGAGTAGTCCATAAACACTACATATATTTATATGTATTTTATTATATGAACCTGCTTTCTGTATATCAACAAAGGGTATTTTGGTATATATGTACACACATAATGTCGTATTTTGTAAATCTATCATCTGAAAAATATATACTTAGTACACACAATAGCTAGATAGTATTCAGGTATCATTGTAGTACTATTGATAAGAATAAACTTGGAAAATATTATATAAAATATTGTATCATAATTGTAAAAAGGTAAATTATAACTTGAAATGAAGTTTTTTTTAAATGAAGGATAATGTATAGACAAATCGATACCATGATGGCTCAGATTGACTCTACCCAAAAATAGTAAGATCAAGGCACAAAAGTCATAGAAATCTCAAAAGTCTCACTAGTTTGACTTATTGAACTAGTTGATTTACTGTATTTGATTTATTTGATTTATCTGACTAAATGAATTTAGTAAACTTATCTAATTAAGTAAATTAAGTAGATTTATCAGATAAGTTTGATGTTAGCTGTAGCAATGTAGAAGTTATAAAAGTGGTATATTTTCATTTCACAATAAAGAAGAATGATTTGGGAAAACCTCAGTTGGAGTTTAATATTGTAAAGTATTTGTTTCTATAATTTACCCCTCCTGATAGGTAAAATTTGCAATAATTATAGGAATTAATGACCAAATTTTGTGATTCTGTATTAACATACTTGTGATGTAGTCTAGAGCTCTAATTAAACCCTAGTTACTCAGACCAAGTCATTCTACGACTCAATCGTAGCCTTGCTACTATTAGGGTTCAGTTAGAGTAGTTTAGTTAGTATTTAGTATTGTGTAGTAGTGTAGTATTTGTGTTATTCTGATACCAGAGTATTTCCACCTTCAATGTATATACCTAAATTTTACCACACAGCATTGTCTAAAGTTAATTTACAATTAATTCTATAAAGTATTGAGTTTTGATATTTTAGAAATTTATATCCAAAATCAATATAGAAATTCTTTTAGTCAAGCTAAATAGTATGTATACTAAACCTAATGATACAAATTTGCTATCAATTTAGGTTGATATTTCAGCTTTTGTTTCATTGCTTGTATACATTGCTCAGGTTAACTAATACTATAAGAGTTTCTGTCAATCAGTCTTAAGCAATTTTAGCATGTGGAAAATTAGTTGAGTACTGATTTTTGGATAGAATTAAAGCAATAAAG